CGTCCGGAGCAATGGCCCATGTCAGCGTCACAGTGCCCCCGGCAGACATTGGCCAGGTTTTGGTTCCTGAGCTTGGGAGCCGTGGCTGGAGTTAATAGATAGAAGTTGTATGAAGGTCCGGGTCCTGGGTTCATTGAGGATGTTGGGTTTAGGGGGTCCTTGGCCGTGGACTTTGGGCCCTACCAGACCCCTGCCCTAACATCAAGCCGGACCTCTAATTAGCTCCCAAACCCTGAAGGCCCTAAACCTTAACTCAAGCCCTGAATCCTAAGCCCTGAACCCTAGACCATGTTCCGCTGGCAGGTCAGGTCTTCGTCCTGAGCTCTAGTATAAGCGGTTAGGTTTGACCTAAAGCTTTAGGCAGCTGGGTGGGCACGGGAAGTGTTTGCGAACGGGTTCAGAGTTTAGAGACGTGGGCAGAGGTTTTGCAGGGTTCGAGCTGTTGAAGAGGTTGGCTCAGGATTCCCTTCCCTGGACCCTCCTCCCTGAAAAAACAGAAATGAAAGGGAAGATTTTGGTTTTGGGCTTAGGCTGTTTCAGGGTTAACCTTTAAGGGCTTGGGCTTTGGTTGGTCCCTCAACTTACAGGCCACGCGTCCGAACGAAGCCTCACTTTGGAAGTCGATCATCACCTCGGAAGGAAACATTCTGTGAGGATCTGCTTCAGGAGGAAGCCCTTCACTGCTTTACACCTGGCTGCCCGGAGCAAATCCGACAAGCAAGAGGTAGACCCTCGAAGCTGCAACCTCCTGTCAGGGCTTGGGGGGGCTTAAGGTTTCCAGCCTAAGCTCTAAGCCCCTGAGGGGGCTTCCGGGGGGTTCAGAGCTGCGGGACCGGCCTGCTCTAGCATCTCATCATTGCCGCCGCCGCTGTTGTGGTCCCAAAGCTCCAACATCCTTCCCCGCTTGACATGCTTGAACTTGAAACAGGCTCTGGGAAACACACTTTTAACTTTTAACTGTTTAAGCCCGAAACCCCTACTTCGGGCGGAATTGGTCGATCTAAACCTCAAGACGCCTGAGGGCCTAAGCCATATAGAGGTTTGCGGAAGAAGGCCCTAAACCCGGAACCTCCAAAACCCGAACGCCCCGGCTGAACAAGCAAACCCCAAGAATCCACAAACCCTCAAACCCCAGACTCCAAACTATCCCCAACACCGAAAACCCCCAAAAAGAACACCCAAATCTGCAGCTCAAGAGTCCCAAAACCCCAAGGCCCTGAACCCCAAGATGTTTCACGTCCCAACATTTCTGGCAGAGACGTCCGAGGCACAGCTGCGCAGCATCCTGGACACCGCCAAAGGTCACCACATAGGGGCCTGGTTCGAAGAGTTATACAGGAAGGTTTAGGGTTTAGGGTTTAGGGTTCGGTCTCGGGTTTTTTGGGGCAGAGGCCTTGATAATTCGACCTGTCATACAGGGCCCTAAAGCAAGCCTGAAAATCCCTTCAATGAAAGAGCGCCCCGTTTTGGGGGTTGGGTTTGTGGTTTGTGGTTGAGGGGTTGAGTTTAAGGCGCTCCTGGATCAACACTTTGGGATCCAAACTCTCAAACCCACACCCTCAAGGGCCCTCAACCCGAAGACCAATTATATACAAACCGTACAGCAACTCATCGGACACCTTTTTTACTGCTACACAACCCATATACAACCCTTTCTGAACACAAGCATCGTGCCTGGAAAGCTGGGCGTGGAGGTCCGTCGCTGGAAATCCTCCCGGCTGCCGACAGCGACGCGATGAGACTTCACCAACAGATACCTGGAAGAGGGTTTGGGGTTCCGTTTCGGATGTGGGGTTTAGGCTTGAGGGTTCAGCTTGTCGTGCAGAGTTCGGGGTTCAGGGTTCAGTTTCGGGTGCAAAGTCTATGGGCAGTTTAGATTTGACAGCTCCTCGCCCTCAGCTGGGCCCTGAGAATAGCAGAAAAAGACGAAAACCCCCACGTATCCACAGGTCCTCACCCCCAAATTCCCAAATCCTGAAATCCTATAATAACTAAACTCTGGAACATCCTGGGACCTGGAACACTGTGCACACGATTTACATTCGTGGTTGACATCCGTATAGGGTTTAGGGCTTGCCTTAACCCTGAAGGACCTACCTTTTTAAGGACTCATATAAGGAAATCATATTAAGGAACCCGAAAAAGGTAGGTTGTTCCGGGTTAGGGCTTAGGGTTTCGATTGCTGCCCGACTTCCCAAAGATTGATCTGAGACGCGGGTCCGGAGGTCGCTGCTCCTGCGCGGACCGGACCCGGGTGATCTAAGGGCTACCTTAACCCCAAGTAACCTACCTTTTAAAGGACTTATATAAAGAAATCATCTTAGGGAACCCTAAAAAGGTAGGTTCCTTAGGGTCCCGGTCGGGCTTAATGAAGGTTTTGGGTGTAGGCGTATTTTAGTGTGATGAAGGGTTTGGATGACGATAAAATCTGCGCTCGTTTACGAGTAACACCGAGCAGGCCAAATGAGAAGCTTTTGGCCAGAGGGTTTAGCTAATTGATAAGCATGCGAGGCTTTCACAGGCATGTTAAGAGGACTCCAGAAGCAGGATTGATTTTGTCGATTGAGGGTTTAGAGCTTGGGGTGAAGTGCAGGGCACACGACGTGAACAGCAGGTGGATTCCAAGACCTACGCCCCATAAGCCTGAAGCCCATCCGGACAACTCGGGAGAGTAAGTTGAAGGACTGCAATCACATCAACAAAACCCGCGACCTCAAGTATCGGGGAACTTCCGACTCACCGACCTTCATGGCTCTTGCATGGAGACCTCGCGCTTTTCGGGTGTCCAGCTTGGGCTACCTTTTATGTGTCTTGTGAGAGTTACTGTGATGCAAAGGGTCGAGTCCTGGAGGCATCCGGGATCAACCAGAGGAGTCGAGGCCGCCACATCCGTGATGCGGATGGAGTTCAGCATGGGAGATGCTCAGGGCTTCCGTCCCTTCTCTTCTACAAGTAGCTCCTGAACTACTCCTCCTGGGTCCCAAGCTTCATCTCCTGAACCCTGGGCTTTTTGGGTGTATTCGCATGCCTGTGATAGCTTGGGCTTCTGTTGAAGTCGAAACCCAAAGCTAGGCAAGTTCGGGGAGAATTGGGGCCCTGTCCAATTCTAACCTTGGAAATTCTATAATGACTAATGATTCAGGGCCACTACCTGATACCGTCTAAAACCTCGTAAATGCTGTGGGACTCATCTAGACAAGCCGATTCTAAGTACTGAGGCCCGCGCATTACGAGTTTGCATGAAGCTTTGAAACTGGGGGGCTTGGGCTGTGGACCCCAAACAGAGCCAAGCCTGTCCAAGGCGAAAGAAGTTTGCATTCCGGGTGCTTGCGGGTTTAGGGCTTAGTATGCGAGGTTTTCTCTAGTGGGACCCTTGCATTTGGGGGATGGGGTAAGGCTTGAGATCAAACGTGTAAGGTAACACCATTGTTGTCCAAGGCTCATGCACTATTCGTCAGAGATGATACGGTTTCTAGACACGGATACGGTCCGCAGCAAAATGTGCTATCTGCAAACCTGTCATCTCAAGACTCCACCAGGACCCTTCTTTGTGCAAGTAACTAGCGACGTGATGCTCGGAACTGTCCCCTCAGAACAAGCCCACGTGCAGCGAGCAAGGCACAAAATGTCCCTGTAAGCTCAAGTTTTGGTGCTCAAGGTGACTGGACAATCTGCTGTGCCGGGCACAAACAAGGATGCCTCAGTGAGTCACAGTCTACCTTTCCCCTGCACCTCCTCGTTATCCTCCTCTGCCTATCATCACTGTCAGCAATCAGAGGGCATGGAGAGGGGAGCTAGTGACGTCGGACGTCCAACCGTGACCACTTGTCACAGCAAGATGTCAGCGAATTTATGCTTCAGGGCTGCGGCGGTGGAAAAACCTGGGAATCGAAGAAGGCTTACCCGTCCGAGGCTTAGGAGGGTGGGTTGCTCTGAATTTGCCTTCCAGGGCTCTCTCTAAGTTAGGAATCCATACAACTGGGTTCCGATGTGTTGCAGGATGATTGCTCACTGGAGAGCAGCACCACGGCCGGAATCAAAGCTGGGCCCCGTCGAACCTCTGGAACCCAGCAGTACAAAGGCACAGTCAAAGACGAGGGTGCTGAAGCTATGGCATTAACACGCAGCTCAGTGGTGAGATGTAGTGAGTACTGGCTTTCGAGGTACTTCATAGGCTGCAAGCATCCGGGGTTTTTCGAGGATGCAGCAAGTCTACCCCAAAAGAGTCTTTTTGATGCGTGGAGGCTGTTGTGAGGATTCAGCTACGCCCCGGTTAGAAATGAACTTGCACCTGAAAGCCCTAAACCCTAAACCGTCATCCCAACGACCGACCCTTGCAGAACTGAAGGCTCTTCCAACAAAAGGGTGTTTTATGATTTAAGGCCGAGGAGTTGGGGGTTCAGGGGTCTAGGGGTTTGGGAAAATTTAGGTGTTTAGGATTTCGGCCTGACCTGGCCTCAGCTCCTACCAATGGCAAAAGGTACGAGGAACATCCAGCATCCCCAGCCCAAAGCCACCTCAAACGGACGATCCCCGGCCCAGTAAGTTCCCCAGCCAGTGGCCCAGTGCGCCGGACGGGCTACGCTTCGCAGGGTCCCAACCTCGTGCGAAAGCTTCTAGGATTTCAGGCTCCTCAAAAACAAAAGCAGAAACTTGGAGGTTGCGAGGTCTCGCTTCCAAAGCTTGCACCACTTTGCTGCTTATTCCATTAAACTACAGAGGGCTGTCGACTGGTCACTCCAACTGCACGCACGGTCGAAACTCCTTTTGGCTTCAGCTGCGAATGCTCTGCTAGCGGTTCGGACATCCAGCTCCACGTGCTCAGCATGAGGGAACTTCGTACTGGAGCCCGCGGCCAATCTGGCGTCGTGATGCTGCAAGGCCGGAGCCGTCTTTCAATGCGCTACTACCGCTTCAGCCTTCAATGAATCCTTCGGAGCATCAGTCTTCCGACACCACACTTGGCATGCTCAACTAATTACGATGGGCGGGTGCCCACCTCAGAGCTCTATGATGCGACCACGCTCAAGGGTGCGGAGTGGTGAGACTGTACCATCCTGATCCTCGTACTTCAAGTCCAACTTGTCTACCAGAAAAGAGGCTAAGCCATAGACACTCAGTGCCAGGCTGAAGCTCTGAATCAATGCTTGCGTCGCACTTTGCACACAAAAGACATAGCTGTAAGATGTCCAAATCAAGCTCAGGAAGGCTTCGCCTCCCTTCTCCTCCTCAAAGATCTCCAGCCTCAGAACCCCATTTCAACTTCAGGTGAGAAGACCGGCTCGAAATGCATACTGCTTACCTTCCACCCCGCTTTCATGCCTACAGCTGCCTTCAACAGTCCTGCTTATACAAAAAATCAGGAGTTCTGCGACCGCGGCCTTCTCACCCAGCCGAGCCACAAAGTCTGGTGCAGCACTCCGAGCTTCACGGTCTCCTTTAGCGCCTGCGGGAGGGACGCTCGGACACTGTGCGGTCCCCAAACCTCGGAACCCCAAAAGCAAGCAGACTGTAGGCGCTCCTCCCGGAAAGAACGGATGTTCTGGAGCTGCTTCAGAGTGCTGCGTCCGACGATGAAAGTCATGCCGGCCGCGAGCTTGAAGCTCCTGACTCTCGCGGGCTGCACGTTGCGGCAAGGCTCAGTCTGGGATCTCTGGAAAAACTCTTGGGGCAGGGGACTGATTGAGACCAAGACCGCAGCGCTCCTCGCGACGAGCAAGGAGGCAATCGTGTTGAAGTCTAGAAAAACGTCGAGCGCAATAAAGGCGAGCTTTACCGAAAGAGAGTCGAAGAAGTCGCGAACACCGCTGAAGCCCCACTGCTCGCGTTTCAGCTGTGGCAGCTCAGTTTCAAGGCTGGCGAAGCCCTCGGTCAGAAGCCGCTGGGACAGTGCAGCGGAAGGGCTTGTGACTTCGACTCCGACTCGCTCCTTAGGGCTGCAGAAGCTCCCGACCATCTTCGCGACCAGGGCCAGGGCGTACAACAACAGAGTCAGAAAGAGGAAACAGAGAAGGCTTATGAAGATGCCCTGCGCCGTCGGCTTGAACATCCAGCGGAGATGTGACCGAAAGTGATGCTCATCCCATCTATCAATGTAAAGCCACTCCGGCAGATCTAGTGCTTTTGCATCATCTCCCAAGTTCTGTTCGGGCCAAGCCTGGTCGACGATTTTGCGAATGTTGTCTTGCAGCGGGTTCAAGACCCGTTCCCACCCTTGCGGGCTGCGACCCTCTGTGAAGAATACGTTCTCGTCGTTACGCGGCGGATCATGAGTCCGTGTCCAAACGAAGCTCACAACCCCGGCAAGCAAAAGGATTCGCAAAAGGCTCCACGAACGCCGCCCTTTCGTGCTGGCCATCGCCAACACTGGTGCCTGCAGCAGGCTTTGCAGGCCGTGCTGCAGGTATGCTGGCAATGCAAACATCGTGAAACACAGCGGCACCCACAGAATCCAGTAAAAGAGAAGCATCCCAAAGCCCATGACGAAGCTTCCCATGGCCGCTACTTCCACCATGCGGAAGACAAGAAGTAGGGCCTTCCCTTCGGTACGGGCTTTGGCGATTCTCAGTCGGGCCCCGGCTACGAATGGATCCGCGTCATCTGACACGGCATGGTAGCCAGCCTTCGTGGTCCAGTGCAGGATGCAGCCTTCGGCCAGCACGAACAAACATGCCGCTGCGAAACCTGCAGCCGGCACTAGATATGTGAGCCAGTCACGGCGTGCCATGGCCAGCTTCTCTCCGTAAGGCATGACTCGGAAAATGCAGCTCCGCTGCGCATCCCAGGTATCTGGGATGTCCCGAGAGATGTCGCCTCCTGCTATCAGCCATTGCTCTGCGAAGACCACGGCGCAGCCGCCGTCGTGGACGATGTCCTGCGCGCCCACATGGGCCACAGTTAGATCATGACTAATTAAGCTAGGAGCCAAGCCTGCCACGAGGTTACAGGTCGCCTTGGCCACTTCCAGTGGGCCGAGTCGCCTCAGGGGTGCCTTTACTATTTACCCGATCCCGGGTCTCCCAAGAAGGTCACCCAGGCGTTCAATTTCTGAAACTGTCGCGTCGTTCGAGACGCATGAGTCAGCACTGAGACGCAACCTGCAAGACAGAGCCCCAAAGCCGGGGGTCCTTTGCAGCCAAGCCGAGTGGAGTGATGCCATTGTGGTCCTGCACAGGGTTCGGCAGCATGCATCCGGAATTGAGCGTGAAAGCGGGATTGGGCGGATTTTGCCATGCAGACACAGACTCCGGGCCCCATGCCTCCAAGTCATCCTCACTAACTGTCAGCCTACATCCCCTCGTGTGACAGGAGTGTCGAACGCTCCGCTCCAAAGCTGGATTCTTCCACCGACTTGAAGCATCCCCGGTTTCCAGACTGGCTCGGAGCTCTTGGACGTCAAACCTAAACCCTAAACCTTTTTTTTTCTGGGCCAAAGTCCCTTGCCTACTTAGGCAGAAAAGGTGAGACCGTGGGCACGAGGGGCGGCTTAAAAATGGCGGGTTCTGGCATCTTCGAAAACTCGTTGGTTTTGCCCAGCTGAAGAATCATATTGAGTCGGAGGATTGGAAACCTTATTTTCCCAAATATATTTGTTAGTGTACACTAACCAGTTCTGTCTCGGTCCTCCGACCCTCCGTTTGCCAATCTCGAACGTGTTCGCGGAGTTGGGTTTATAGCTAACTTGCCTTAAGGGGTCCTCCTCACTGGTTCTCAAAATATGACCAGCTCGTTTGATACGCTTCTCTCGAACCAACTCCGAAAACAGTTTGATTTCGTTGCTGCTGGGTTTGTACTTCTTCATTTCCTCATTCGCTTTCCTTAATACAGATTCATGTGTATTTGCGCGGTTCACATAAGTACTGTCTATCCCTAGGATCCTTCTAATTCCTCTCAACTGAAACGCATTTATTTTCTTCTGCATCGATTGCGTTAGATGAACAGTTTCCAGACCATATAAAAGTTTGTTTCTGATGATTGCATCACAGACATGTAATTTCCAGTGCGCTGGGCACTGCACAGCCTTCCAAAAGCTGGTTAGCTCATACCAAACTTTTAATGTATCATGCATTTTGTGGTTGATTTCATGTCTTATATCAATAGCTTGTGTAATTTGATGTCCTAGATATGTGGCTTCGTTTACTCTTTTCAACCTGGCACCATCAGCAAATTTGACGACATTGTTACCGTTCATAGCTACGTAACAGCATTTCTCCCTATTGAGACGTAACCCGAATTGCGCAGACACTGCTTCTACTTCGTGTAGTAAATTATTGGCAGCTTGTGTGTTGGTACTGATTAGTAAAGTATCGCCCGCATAGTAGACTCTATCGAAATCTACTCCGTCAAACCTAGAATTCACCGTGCGCTGATTTATATTACAGCTGATGTCGTGGTCTATGACAGAACCCGAAGCAATGGCGCGAAAAAACACGAAGACAACGTTGGACATCCAGGCGGCACAGAAACGGACGAACAGTAACTACAACTGACATGTGGAAGTATGTGTTCGCGATGGTCCTCCGCATTCCACTCGGCACCGCTTTGCAGCAGGAAAACTTCGGTCTGTAGGCATCCATTGTCAGCAGCTTCGTAAAGCGGCGTCTGGCCGTCCTGGTCCTGCACAGAGGCTTAGCATCCCCTCGAAAAGCGGCCCGAGGCCCTCCTCCGAGAGATTAAAAGAAGAATAAGAAGAAGAGTGAGCTCTCTAGAGATTAGCCGAGCCGAAGCTTGCATTGTGATGGGACGCCACTTGGAGCTGCTTTGGAGCTTTTGGAGGCCTTCTCTACTGGTATTCTCCCGCATCCAACAGAATACGTAGCAACTCCGAACTGGCTGCAGAAATGAGTCCGAGGTAGCACTCAGAAGCAAAGTGAAGTGCCGAATCCTGTGCACTGAAAGATTCCGAAACCACCACTGTTGGTGCTATATACCAAGGACTGAGTCCTAAACGATTCGTGCCATCGTGATTAGACTGCTAGTGCGTCTTCGCAGAAGCCGCAGCCCTCCCACGGCGGCCCTCCTTGGCGTTTAGGTCTGCACCGGCTGCCAAGAGGATCTTTGCAGCCTCCAGGTGGTTTTGGCGCACTGCTTTGTGCAGTGGCGTCTCGCCTCGGCCGTCCTGCACGAAGGCTTGGCAGGGGCCTCAGTGCCTGCACCTTGAAGCCTCGAGGGAGGTTTCTCGCCTCGCTCTTGCGCGCGGTCATGGAAGTACAGCCGACCAAGGCATCCTCAAGTCGTATCAAAACCTGATGTAGCGCTTAGTGCAACAGTGCCGTTTTATGCGGTATCCGAGCATGACAAACGGTAAGCAACAGTATAATAAGTGCGTGGATGTTGCCAGCTATGGGCTAGTTAATACAACCAGCCTCAAGGCGAATGTCTGAGCACCCATTGTTAATGCCACGTCTCAGCGCAGATACACACAACAGCAAATGCAGCGTCGAGGAGCAGTCACCAGCAAAAAAGGGTCAGATGGCCTTCTCGCTCGGATCTCACTCCTGGTGCAACAGACTGTTGACCGGCTTCCTTGACTTCGGTCCAATCAGCCTGAACCGTTTCCAAAGCAGACCTGTGCAGGGGTGGTCAAGGTCCTGCGTCGAGGCTTGGCAGCTTCCCCTCCGGGCAGCAGCACTCGCGGCCCGACACCTTCCAGCGTCCTTCTTACACTTCTGTACTTTTCAATTCCCTATTGACCCATCTCGGGAAGACTCGAACGGAGCCGGGAACATCCACAAAGACTTACCATGTGCACGCCTTTTTATCGAAACAATCCCCTTCAGGCGCTCGACGCGCCCGAACCTTCCTCAAGCAACGTCGCTTTCAAATTCGAACATGGACGGAAGAAAAGAAGACAGAAATGAGCCCCGCGATTTGCATGTTTCGGCGTGTCGGAAAAGGAGCTGTAAAAGGGGAAAACAGCTTTGGCCCGCTTATGGGAGGCCACCTGGAGCACAATCATGAGTCTTCTCTACTGCATTTCTCCTGCGTCGAAAAAACACTGAGCCTCAGCATGCCTCAGCACTAGCAAGCAAAAGCAGCAAGACTGATGTACCAAAATCCGCACACTGAAAAAACACGAAACCATCACTGCTCATGCACTGCACACCAAGAACACAACTGATTCGCGAACATGGCCAGACTGCTGCTAGTGCTCTCGTTGCCTCTTGGCACGAGCGTCAGCCCTCCCGCAGTGGTCCTTGATGTTTAGGTCTGCGCCAGCTTTCACCAGCAGCGTCATCACCGTCACCATGCTGTCAGAGTGTTGCTGGTCGTGGCCCAACGTATTCCACGAATGAGATTCTACCAGGTGGCCGTCCTGCACAGACAGGCTTGACAGAGACCCTCCGCAAGCCTCAGCGCCTGCGCCTTGACAATTAGTAGGGCCTGATGCAGCACTCGAGATCCGGTATGTACCGACTTTGCAGTAGACCAGCGTTTCTGGGGCTTGTGCTTGTCATGGCTGAGTCTATACAACCATGCCTCAAAAGAATGCTGATTCAAAACCAGTCATGAATGCAAGGTCAAAGTGTAGTGATACACAACAGCGTCCATGATGATGCAGCCACAAGCTGAAAGGGTAAGATGGCCTTCTCGTTCGGATCTGTCTCTTGGTACATCAGTTTTTGACCGCAATAACCATGTGGCCGTTATGCGCGGCTTTCTTGAGCTCGGTCCAATCCGCCTGAAAAAATCCGTGTTCAAGTCACACCTGCGACGGGCTGGGAAAGAGGGATGATTGGGGAGCCTACGCCTTGAAAGCGACCGGAGGCCATGTAGCTTGTCTGCAACACCTCCTTTCAATTCCTTGTAGCCCGCCTTCGGCCAGCCCATCTCGGGAAGACTCGAACGGAGCCGGGAACATCCACAAAGACTTACCATGCGGACGCCTTTTTATCGAAACAATCCTCTTCAGGCGCTCTGCGCGCCCGAACCTTCCTCAAGCAACGTCTTTTTCAAAGTCGAACCTGGACAGAAGGAAAGAAGACAGAAATGAGCTGCGCGATTTGCGTGTTTCGGCGTGTCGGAAAAGGAGCTGTAAAAGAGGAAAACAGCTTTGGACCGCTTATGGGACGCCACCTGGAGCACAATCATGAGTCTTCTCTACTGCATTTCTCCTGCGTCGAAAAAACACTGAGCCTCAGCATGCCTCAGCACTAGCAAGCAAAAGCAGCAAGACTGAAGTACCAAAATCCGCACACTGAAAAGACACGAAACCATCACTGCTCATGCACTGCACACCAAGAACACAACTGATTCGCGAATATGGCCAGACTGCTGCTAGTGCTCTCCTTGCCTCTTGGCACGAGTGTCAGCCCTCCCGCAGTGGTCCTTGAAGATTCGGTGTGTGCCAACTTTCAGCACCACCTTCGTGGTATCAGCCTGGGACTTGCCCGCTGCTTCGTGGAGTGGAGTCCGGCCATCATCGTCCTGCACGGACATGCTTAGCACAGACCCTTCGGCAGCCTCAGTGCCTGCACCTTGACAGCCAGTGGGGGTTCTCGCCTCGCTCTTGAGCACAGTTCGGTTTTTTGGGAGACTGAAGTGCCAAAACCTGCACAACGCGAAAACACGAAACCATCACTGCTCATGCACCACACACGGAGAACACAACTAAGTCCTAAACCGTTCGTGATCACAGCCAGACTGCTGCTAATGCTAGCCTTTTTTGGCCACGAGCGTCGGCCCTCCCGCGGTGGTCCTTGATGTTGGGGTCTGCGCCGGCTTCCAGCAGCACCTTTGCGACATCAGTGTGGGACTTGCCCGCTGCTTCGTGGAGTGGAGTCCGGCCATCATCGTCCTGCACGGACATGCTTAGCACAGACCCTTCGGCAGCCTCAGTGCCTGCACCTTGACAGACAATGGGGGTTCTGGCCTTCTTGAGTGCACTCCGCTGCCTCAGCGAAGGTCCGGGCAACCTTGCAAAAACCCTTCCATCCCTTTTCCTCCAAAGAAGCAAATATAATGCTTGCATGGAGGTACAAAAGCCACCCTCAAGTCGTTCTACAACCTGATGTGGCGTACCGGCTTTTGCAGTAGGCCAGCTTTTCTGGGGCTTGTGCTTGTCATGGCTGAGTCCATACAACCACGCCACAAAAAAAAAGGCTGATTTAAAAAACCAGTCATGGGTGCAAGGTCAAAGGGCAGCCATACACAACAGCCGACGCAGCATTGAACAACTCCATGGAACCACGTCCATGATAATGCAGCCACAAGCTGAAAGGCTACGATGCCCACCCATGTTCAAATCACACCTGCAAGGGGCTGGGAAGGGGGGGACGATTGGGGAGCCTACGCCTTGAAAGCGACCGAAGGCCCTGTAGCTTGTCTGCAACACCTCCTTTCAATTCCTTGTAGCCCGCCTTCGGCCAGCCCATCTCGGGAAGACTCGAACGGAGCCGGGAACATCCAAACAGAACAATCCTCTTCGGGCGCTCTACGCGCCCGAACCTTCCTCAAGCAACGTCTTTTTCAAAGCCGATTTGCGTGTTTCGGTTTTGTCGGAAGAGGAGCTTTAAAAGGGGAAAACCCCCTTGGCCCCCTTATGGGACGCCACTTTGAGCACAATCATGAGTCTTCTCTACTGCATTTCTCCAGCGTCGAAAAAACACTTAGCCTCAGCACTAGCAAGCAAAAGCAGCGAGACTGAAGTGCCAAAACCTGCACAACGCGAAAACACGAAACCATCACTGCTCATGCACCACACACGGAGAACACAACTAAGTCCTAAACCGTTCGTGATCACAGCCAGACTGCTGCTAATGCTAGCCTTTTTTGGCCACGAGCGTCGGCCCTCCCGCGGTGGTCCTTGATGTTGGGGTCTGCGCCGGCTTCCAGCAGCACCTTTGCGACATCAGTGTGGGACTTGCCCGCTGCTTCGTGGAGTGGAGTCCGGCCATCATCGTCCTGCACGGACATGCTTAGCACAGACCCTTCGGCAGCCTCAGTGCCTGCACCTTGACAGACAATGGGGGTTCTGGCCTTCTTGAGTGCGCTCCGCTGCCTCAGCGAAGGTCCGGGCAACCTTGCAAAAACCCTTCCATCCCTTTTCCTCCAAAGAAGCAAATATAATGCTTGCATGGAGGTACAAAAGCCACCCTCAAGTCGTTCTACAACCTGATGTGGCGTACCGGCTTTTGCAGTAGGCCAGCTTTTCTGGGGCTTGTGCTTGTCATGGCTGAGTCTATACAACCACGCCACAAAAGAATACTGATTTAAAGCCAGTCATGGATGCAAGCTCCAAGGGTAGCCATACACAATAGCCGATGCAGCATTGAACAACTGCATGAAGCCACGTCCATGACGATGCAGCCACAAGCTGAAAGGGTAAGATGGCCTTCCCATTCGAATCTGCCCCTTGGCACAACAGGTTTTGACCGTCGAACCTAGACAGGTGGAAAGAAGACAGAGATGAGCCGCGTGATTTCCGTGTTTCGGCATGTCGGATCTGGGCCCTGAGGAACAGTGAACGGCCGCAGAGTACACCACTGGAGGACCACTCCAGGATCACACCACCATCACATCCCGAGGCCACCCCGAGACGAGACGACCCCACGATGGTTATTCCACTCGAGGAGTCGAGGAGCACTGAAGGACAACCTCCAACACGACTCCCAAGACGAATCAAAGCGCAAAAAAATGCGAGCGGCCCTCTGGCGAGAGCACGATTGATCCGCACCACACAGCACTGTGGCAAGAGCGCACGAGGTCTAAGGGAGCACGCAAAACTCCAGAAACCCTTAGAACGGCGGTTGCAAAACCATACTGGAGGACCGGAGAAGCCGACTAGTTTGTCCGTGCCAATCAGAGCCCTGGAGCGCCTTGAAGGCCAACACGAGTTCCACCCCAAAAGGTGCACGCACTGTGCCGAGAGCACAAGGACAGGGCCCATACTGTGGCGAGAGCACGATCAGCGCCAATTGCGCACAGTGCCACAGCGGAAGCGGTAGAACCACCGGGCGCGACGCGCCCCGCAGGCTGCCGGTAACCTAACGGTCTGCACTTCTCGTAACAACCTTCCAGTATCACCACACTGACCTGGGAAAAGACTTTCCGCATCTTCTGGACATATCGAGCCGAATTGCATTGCTGGCTGGCACCTTCAGAAGACTCGGAGCTCTCGGCTCCCCGAATCAAGGGCCCTTCTCCACTGCAATGCTCCTTCCTCCAAACGTCCACACAAATACGCCTAGCACGCCGGAACTGGCTGCAGAACTGGGTCCGAGGTGGCACTCGCAAGCATAAGAAGCGAGACTGAAGTACCAAACCATACGCACTTTTGAAAAAAACGCGAAACCATCACTTCTCATGCACCGCACACCAAGAACACAACTGAGTCCTAAACGATTCGTGATCATGGCCAGACTATGCCAGACTGCTGCTAGTGCTCACCTTCCCTCTTGGCACAAGCATCGGCCCTCCCGCGGTGGTCCTTGATGTTTGGGTCTGCGCCGGCTTTCAGCAGCAGCGTCATCACCATAACCATTCTGTCATGTTCATGGTTAAAGTCGATTGGACTCGACGAATACGATGCCGCCCCATGCAGTGGAGTCCGGCCATCGTCGTCCTGCAGAGGCTTGGCAAGGGCCCTCCTACTGGTAGCGCCTCGGCGCCTGCGCGAAAGTTCCGGTGCGCTGGGAGCCTCAGCGAAGGCCCTGGCGACCTTCCAGAAACCCTTCCATCCCTTTCCGGTAAGGCCGACGAAGCCATCCTCAAGCCGTACAAAAGGTGTAGAGCAAGACTGAAGTAATGAAACCGTACGAACTCGTCTGGGTTGCCCTACCCTGGCTAGTCACTAGCGGCTAGTCTATACAACCACGCCTCGAAAAGTGATGCTAGAAATTTGAATGCCACTCATGGGTGTTGGCGACCGCAATAACGATGGTGCCGCCATGAACGGCTTTCTTGAGCTGGGCCCAATCGGCCCTATCCGTTTTCGGACCACGCTTGCCCAGGGGTGATCGGGGTCCTGCGCAGAGGCTTTGCAGGGTCACCTCCAAGCCGCAGCACGGAGCGGGGAACTTGGGATGGGCAGCCTGCGCCTTGAAGGCGGCCGGAGGCCCTGCAGCTTCCCTGTGACACCGCTTTTCAATTCCCTATAGCCAGCCCATGTCGGGAAGACTCGAACGGAGCCGGGAACATCCAAAGGAATTGTCATGGGCACACCCTTTCATCAAAACAATCCTCTTCAGGCGCTCTACGCGCCCGAACCTTCCTCAAGCAACGTCTTCCTGAAAGTCGAACCTAGATAGGTGGAAAAAAGACAGAGATGAGCCACGTGATTTCTGTGTTTCGGCATGTCGGATCCAGCCCTGCAGAGCAAAATGACTGCTCCCCCTTCTGGAGATATCGAGCCGAAGCTTGCATTGCTGGCTGGCACCTTCAGAAGACTCGGAGCTCTCGGCTCCCCGAATCAAGGGCCCTTCTCCACTGCAATGCTCCTTCCTCCAAACGTCCACACAAATACGCCTACCGTCCGAGGTGGCACTCGCGAGCATAAGAAGCGAGACTGACGTACCAAAACCTGCGCACTTAAAAGACACGAAACCATCGCTGCGCATGCACCGCACACCAAGAACGCAACTGAGTCCTAAACCATTCGTGATCATGGCCAGACCGCTGTTGGTGCTCGCCTTCCCTCTTGGCACGAGCGTCGGCCCTCCCGCGGTGGTCCTTGATGTTTGGGTCTGCGCCGGCTTTCAGTAGCACCTTCACACTCTCAGGGTGGCCATGCAACGCTGCCAGGTGCAGTAGAGATCGGGCATCGTCGTCCTGCACAGGGACCCGCCGGGAGCCTCAGTGCCTGCGCCTTGAGCACTCAGCGAAGGCCTTCGCAACCTTTCAGAAACTAGTTCACTGTTGGGGTAGGATTAAAAATGTACATTTTTATTCCTTCTTGGGTTTAAGTACCCACAAAGATGTAAAATGTTACCCAACTGTGACAAAGGAAACCCTTCCCCTATGCGCTTTTTTCCAGAGCAAGCGGGTGTGACACCTGCATAAGCCCGACGAAGCCATCCTCAAGTCGTACCAAAACCTGGTGTAGCACTGGAACCCGTTTTTATGCAGTAGCCGAGCAACACCACAGGTAATGCAACAGTACGAGTGCGAGCGGCTTGTGCTAACCATGGCTAGTCCCTACAACCACTCCTGACCACAATGCTGTTTGAGCACCAGATGCCACATCTCAGGACAGAGACACACAAAACCACAAACTGCACGGGCAGGAGGCCTTCTCGTTTGGATCCGCCCCCTTCCGCAAATCTCGCTTCAACACCCAGTCGACGCCCATACTTGCCCAAGCCGTGAGATGGGAAGGAGGTGGCTTGGACTTGGACCCTTTGTACACAGTGCTCTCGTGATGGTATCGGATCTCCTCTCATGTCTGTTTTCGACCGAAACAAGTCCACCCGGTCGACCCTCCAACATCTCAACACGGAAGTTGTGTGTTGAGTTGCTTCGAAAAACTACAAATACACAAAAGTGGTTCCAAACTCCGAGCCGGCTGCGGTGGCGAATGCTGACAGCAGCTGCAGCAGCAAGAAGTGCCAGCCCATTGCTCACTTTCCCAGCAAAAGGCACGCAAGATGCGTGGAAACGACCGAGCCCTTCTGAGAGGGTGCACAACACATCTGCCCACAGATCCTTGGAGTGCGAAGCACTGCGGCTGCGGTTCAGTTTCGCGAGGAATCGCGTCCTGGAAGCACCCCCATCAAAGCACTCTACTGCAAGCGGACTGAGGCAAGGTCCCCTAAAGTCCCAACGGGCTCCGCCGCGACCTGAGGGCACTGTTCAGAAATTCGGAGCTGTCTGGGCCTAGGATGTCTGGCATATTCAGCCCAGAACTCCACAAAACGCTCTCCGCACCTAAATTACAGGAGCCCTCAGGACCGACTAGGCATCAGCCGCTTCTACGAAAAGGATTATATTGACTATACTTCTTTGGATTGTGAAAGGCCCTGAACCCCAAACCATCCCGGTCCCAGACTCTCTTTGCGAATAGCGCGCAAAGGGCCTCACATGTTCCAGAACAGCACCCCATGAGAAATCATGCGGTTTGTTGTCGAGGGTTGACCGTGCTAACACCCTGCGAACTTGTGTTCACGGGAACCTTTCTAACTTCTCACGCAAACCGACGTCTCAAAAAACAGATGCAAAACTTTGAACGCTGAACTCAACCCGAGCAGCACCGCCTACCCTACGTACAGCCGCAATCAGCAGACCCTTAAGATCCCTGAAGTACAGCCTCAAGCCCTGATATCCTCGGAGCGCTCTAATAAAGGCCCTACACACTGAAACCACAGCTCCCGACCTGCATGGCGGCCACTCGCCGCTCCGGGATTGCCTTCCCGCAAGGGCCAAGAGCTAGGAGTTCTGTTCGGGCAGCAGGGTCTGGGGTTCGGGGTTTAGCATTTACGGGTTCCGGGTCTAGGGTAACCTTGGGGTCGAAGGCCTTGGGGCTTACTGTCTGTGGGTTCAGGCTTGGGCTTAGGGTCGATGGGCTTCGAGGTTAAAGAACGGAGCTGCCCACTCCTCGGGTCTGCATTTTTGGGGGAACCTCTTTGAAGGTCTCAGGGGAAACCCGTCAATCGCGCCGAAAGCGCTGAAAGGGCAGGAAGAACTCTCTCCGTCCTCAACGAAGCATCTAACGATATTTTGGGGGCATCCTCGTTTGAAAAAAGGCCCTGATTCTGAACCTCTTGGGCCGCTAGCTTCACCCCAAAGCTCCGACACCCTTTTTTGCCTATCCAAAGAACCTGCTGCGCCCTTGGAAGGCAGGAAAAGCTCCTTTCAAGGGTCGAGATGACCCACCACGAACCCGAGAACTCGGGGAAAGAACTTTAAAGCCCCGAACGTTTCTTTCAGAGGGTCTCGGGTCAGCTTTGAAACTCTTGATTTATATAGAGCTTCGGATGATGGCCTCATGGGAGAGGGCCATATAACTCTAAACCCAAAGCACAACCTTAAACCCTAAAACCTAAACCCTGAACCCTAAACCCTATTCTGGAATAACTATATACGGACTGTGAGGGGCTTACTAAAATCTTGTACCGACCCCCTGTCATAGCCCTTAATTCAAA